TATCCTTTTAAAAAAAAAAAGCAATGATACATATACGGAACAATTAGGTAGACTTACTTTGCCAATTACATTTGATTCTTTAATACATAATACATATTAAATATAAGAAAATGAGATTTTAACTTTTTTATTTAATACATTAATGACCAATTAAATTTAATAGGCCTAATAATTCTGCCTAATTAATCCGTGTAAGTATATTTACTTTTAAAATAATAATAATAATAATAAATTCCTTATTTTGAGGGATAAAAAGACTGACGAAAAAAGTCTTACTCCCTCCGTCACAAATTAAATGTTCAAATTTTTATTTTTGATCGTCACAAAATAAATATCTCATTTGAAAAGTCAAAGTACTATTTTTTTTTATAACATTACCAATTTAACCTTCTTACATTGAATTTATAAAAAGTAAATCATCACATCAATGGACCCAATATAAATATATTTGGTAATTCATTCGCAATTAATATAATAAAAAAATATTAAAATCCATCCTTTTAAAAAGTTAGATTTTCAAAAAGAGATATTTAATTTAAGACCTTTTTACATTGAATTTATAAAAAGTAAATCATCACATCAATGAACCCATTATTAATATATTTGATAATTCATTCGCAATTAAGATAATAAAAAAATATTAAAATCCATCCTTTTAAAAAGATAGATTCTCAAAAAGAAACATTTAATTTGAAACGGAAGGAGTACTGTTTATGAACTTAAAAATAATTTTTGAATTTTTAAAACACTAATTTTTTAATCAATTTTATTTAAAAATATATTTAAATTAACATTTAATTAAATTTGTAAATTCACATTTCCAAAAAACCCACCCTCGTTCAATTTCTACAGCGAGAAAGAAATTGTGTGAGGGGGCAACAGGGGAAAATTGTGTGAGGGGTAATAGGGGGATTATTTTTTTTTATTTTTTATTTTTGTAATTTCCCCTTGGTGGGGAGGAGGCAATAGTAAAATAAAATTTCATAAGTATATATAATTTAAAAAATAATAATAATAAGATGTGTATTATGAACCGTACTACGACATTATTTTTGTTTTCTGACTATCAAAGTTCATTGTGACCCGCTCTTATGGCCCTCACTTTCTCTCTTCCATCGAGGACTTACTTTTTATTTTTTTTTTCCTAAAGCATCCCACTTACTTTCTTCTTCTTTTTTATCCTAAATAATCGGGCTTGCCTTCTTTTATTTTATTAAAATCACCTGACTTACCTTTGAATCTTAATAAATTATTGGGAGTTTTTTTTTTGTTTTGTTTTTAGTAATCATAGCATTACACCATAGTATGTGGCTCCCAATGTCAATTGACAGTTACAAATATCATCATCCCTTGTACACACACACACACACACATATAAATACACTTACACAACCTGATCATCTTCACTTGTACTCACACACACACACACACACACACACACACACACACACACACACATCTATATATATATATATATATATATATATATATATATATATATATATATATACACACACACACTTACACAACCTGATTTCACTATAACCACAAACATATAGAGTCTGAGCATTATTTGATTCGTGTGAAGGGATCGCTTTGCATTAGTTATGTAGACTAGTTGGGACAAAACCCTAGACAACTCGATTAGCGAAAAAAAAAAAACTGATCTCACAATACTGCAAACATAATCATAATGTGGGAGTTATAATGTAAATTACAGATTTCAACAACAATTATAGTAAGTTGAGGATTCAATTCGAGAATGAGTAAAGGAAAAAACTTTAAATTGCAAAGAAGGTTGAGGATTCATTCTTCTTCTATTTCCTTCAAGCTTTCAACACTGTAAAAAATTTAGTTCTTTTTTCTCACCATGCCTCTCTTATGTATGCTCTAGTCATCACCAAATTTCCACATGGGTGCCACCAAGGTTGTTAAGCCAACTCATTTACGGGGCAAACAGTTTCCTCCACAAGCCAACCTGTAGGAATCAACCCCTTCGAGGAGGACAAAGAGCTTGGCAGCTCTTATCAAGTCAAAAGATTTATAATAGTAAAATTTCTCTCTATGGACGTAACCCTAAAGTTGGGTGAACCATGAAAAGTATTGTGTTATGTGTTGATGTATATGATTGTTCTCTCCATATATGTTTGTGTTTATGTGATGTTATGATGCTTATGTAATGAATGAGGGATTTAACTCTTAACAACCGTCGATCGTTGAGTGAGTTAGACTAAGTTAATTTCCTTAACAACTAGAATTAGAGTTGATGGTGGGTAAGAACCTGTGGTTGGTCTTAAAGATTTGGGCAGAAGATTGGTGTGAAGTTCGTCAAAGTAGAAAGTTAATCATAAGTTGCTATGGAAATTCAATCAGAGTTAATGATGACACGAATGTATGTTGGTGTGAATCCCGTGAGAAACAAGTTTTGGGGACAAGCCAAAGAGTAGGTACTAGTTTTTAATTAAGATGGTGGGAGTGTGGTGTGCAGAATAAAGGGGTTTGCTCTAAGCTCGATTAAGAGCAAAGTGATCAATGTATAAAGAGTATGTAGAGAAAGTTTATTGCTTTTAGTCAAAAAAAGTAATTGATAAGAATAGTGCATCGGAAGCTTGATGGGTTGCCATATGTGAGTAATTGAACACCAATAGAATGAACGGAATGAAGAAAGAAAGAAAGAAGAGTTTTTTTGTTCAAGGTAGAGTTGTGATGACTTTGTGAACGGGTGTGCCGTGGGCGGGTGCGATAGACACTGTCAGGCTACCACACTGACGAGTTACGGGTGCACAGTCCCACATCGCCTGGGTAGAGGAAAGGTGAAGTATTTATATGTAAGTGTGTCACCTCCAATTGGTATGAGGCCTTTTGGGGTGAAGCCCAAGAGCAAAACTGTGCGGGCTCAAACCCAAAGCGGACAATATCATGCCATGTGGTGGAGTGGGTCGTTATAGTTGGTATCAGAGCCTGACCCAGCCGGAAGTGTGCCGACGGGGACGTCGGGCCTCCAAGGGGGGTGGATTGTGATGACCTTGTGGGCGGGTGCGAGAGACACTGTCAGGCTACCACACTGGCGAGCTACGGGTGCACAAGTCCCACATCGCCTGGGTAGAGGAAAGGTGAAGTGCTTATATGTAAGTGCATCATCTCCAATTGGTATGAGGCTTTTTGGGGTGAAACCTAAGAGCAAAACCGTGCGGGCTCAGGCCCAAAGCGGACAATATCATATCATGTGGTGGAGTGGGTCGTTACAAGAGTTATTGAAGAGTGAAGACGAATCCTCGTAATTGCAAGGAAGATGCTCATCTGCAAGAATTGATGAGTCATCCTGGAGCCCTCAACATTTGAATGAGGAATCACAAGACTCAGTCTAGAATGTTTAACAACTAATTATTGGCAGAGTGAAGTAATTGCGAGACTGAGACAAGGTTAGAGGTTGTGGATTAATTTTTCGCTTTTGATTGCTTATCTTCCTGATTTTTCCTTTGGAGGTTTCTATATAAAAAATCACGTTGTCATCTCAAACTCTAACTTCATTTAATTTCTAGCATTATCTTTATTGATTTGTGTGATTTATTTCATTTAAATTATGTGGAATTAAAATAATATAAAATTTAATTAAGAGGACAAACTAAACCTATTCAACCCACTCTAATTCTTTTGCTTGGGATCAAACTAATTTCCATACCACTTCCGCTTGACTCACACAAAATAATGGAACCTTCAGAGCAAATGAGAGGAAAAAGAGATAAAGTAAGGCCATGGTGGCGACAGTGGTGGTGGGAAGAGCGAAAGAGGGTGTGGCGGCTAGCCGCAGTGTTTGAGAGGTAATTCAAAGAGAAAAAAGTTGTAGAGATCGAGAAAGAGTGGTGAATGGGAGGAGGGTAAAGAGGAAAAATAGAAAGAAATAAGAGGACAAAATTCTTGAACAACAAGAATTATTCTTGAGCAACAAGAATTCTTTGAAAAAAAGAAAAGAAAAAAGAAAAAGAGTGTGTAAAACGTATAATATTTTTGTAAATTAAAAAAATTATTTAAAAATATATATAAATAATCAAAATTAAATACACTTTTATAGGGTATATATATATAGTATGTTTGCCAAGTGCTGCAAGCCTACAAATATAAGTTATTACATACACATATTTATAGGATATAAAATGGTACAAAATTTATTTTTTCTAAATATATATTTTTAAAATTTATTTTTACATCCAAATATAAAAGAATAAATCATTTAATTTGAATTTCAATTTATTCCGAAGGTAAATGGAATTCCATTTTAATTATAATCCAATTCCTTTTTCCATTGCAATTTCAAATCTCAAAAGGATTTGGTTCCAACTTTTACTTTTTAAAAAATCCACATTTAAACAACAAATAGGAATATAACCCATATATATTCCTTTCCTTTTGTAACTAGTATTTTTTACTTGTATTTTAAATATTTTTTCCACATTATGTACGGAGTATATGCGATCCTAGTGTTAAAACAGAGAGAGTTTCCAGTTTTTTCATAAGCCTTTTCTATTTTCTTTTTGGCCGATCAAGGTTAAACATTAATATGTTCCTAAAACTGCATTAGGGTTTCTGATTATCAGTTCCTGTCTCTTGATTAAAAATCAAAATCTAGGGTTTCGGATTATCATGAAGGGAAGGCAAAACAAAATGGCTAGGATTAGCGGCAGAATAGAATCCTTAACTTCCAATCTTCACTATCTCCCTCTTGATTCAGATCCTCATTAGACTGCCGGTAAAATTACTACTCCAATTCACGTCAGTCTGCAAATCATGGTGCTCTCTAATAACTCACCCTACTTTCATTCAAGCACATCTCAAAACCACAAGCCAAAAAAACACTTAATCATCCTTACCTACTACACCAAATTTGAGTTGTACCGATTTGGCCGGTACTCAATACGTTATGATGATGAATCTTTGATAAATCTTTTTGGGAGGATTATGAACCGCAGTTTCCCTCACACATTCTCATACAGTCATTAGCCATGCACGGTTCCAGCAATGGGCTCATATGCTTGTCTAATGAAGGCACATGCACCGTATTCTTATGGAATCCAGCACTTAGAAAATTAAAGACACTCCCAAACTCTCTAATTTTGGACTCCAAGTCCGATCATTTGGCATTTGGGTTCCATCCCGGAGTTGATGACTACAAGGTTGTGAGGATTTTCTACTGGCACGACATGGATATGCCCTTCAAAGATCGATTCCTAATTGAGGTTTATAGTCTTAACACGGACTCTTGGAGAAGAATTGATGTTGGCCCTTCATGTTATATTTTTCCTCAGAAACCTGCAATCGTGATTGGAGCAGTATACTGGGTTGGAATGAGGAGACCTGATGAGGGTGATTGTTCTCTCCTTATGCGTTTCGAAATGGGTGATGAAGTTTTTGAAAAGGTAGTGCTGCCAAAAATTGCTCCAAAATATCAATTGGACATTGCAGTTTTGGAGGAATCACTGTTTCTTTTCCAATTTTATGTTAGTTATGGAAATGAATGGTGTGACATATGGACAATGGAGGGTGGCAAATTGGGTTGTTGGACAAAACGATTTACGGTTAATGTTAATATCCCTGACCAATCTAATATCATTATGCTAGGCTTGAGAAAGAGCGGTGAACTGCTACAAGTAGATTCCCTAGAAGAATTCCTTAAGGGTGATTGGCTGTTATCTTATAATTTTGAGACCCAAAGAGCTAAAGATCTAGGAATCCACGGATATTTGGGGACTTATAGTGCATATTCTTATGTGGAGAGCTTTATTCAACTTGATGGTGCAGAGAGTCTTTTTTCCGGCCACTTGATAATGGAAATTGATTTAGAAAATGCTTGTGATGGAGCTATATTTACAGGGAACATCGATCTCAAGAAGCAAGAAAGGGTAGAAAGAGAGGCCAGATAAATTATTTACTCATTTTTTGTCATATTATTAGACTTGTGTCTACTGCTGCTCCTTTTTGGAACTTTTCTCTTTTAGTGAATACAATACAATGTAATTATCAAAATAAAATCTGCGTCGGACTCCTAATTTTGGATGATGAAATGATGAATACAATACAATGTAATTATACGTTTTTGATATTATCATCAAGGCCTAATACTTAATTGATGCTGTTAGCTAGTTTCATGCGATAGATGAACTTACTGGTTTAAAGTGTCTTTGTTATTAATTTTTTTTTTTTTTTTTTCAAGAAAGGAAGTGCTATACGTTTTTGGAAGGTTAGAAGGCAAAAAGAAAAAGAGGTGACAAATTTTAGCCTTTTTATTTGAGTTTTGTTTCTATTTCGTGTTTCCTTGTCCATAGGTGTTTTTTTTCCTGACAAGAAGGCCTTGGGTTAATTAAGGGTTCAAAAAGTTGAAGAGATACCACTTATGTACAACTTTTTATAGTAAACATTTGCTCCTTTTATTTGAGCTTTGTTTCTGTTTTGTGTTTGCTTGGCCTTATATTAGGTTTATTAATGCTTATTTCTCTCTTTGCCTCTTTATATTTTTAACCTGTCCAAAAAAAAAAAAGAATTGTACATCTAATTTGTGTCCTTACTTCATAGCGTCAGATGAACAAACATTATACATCATCTCTAATTACTTAATTACTGAACCTATATCGTTCGATTCACTTGTTAGTACTTTGTTCATCAAGTGTGGTAATGTTGGTCGCCATTGCCAGTATGACGACTGAACTGGAAGAGGTTCTGGACTTATAGTTTGGCAAATGAAGTTATGTTGTAGACTTCGTTTCGATTGCTTTAAAAATGAGTATTTTTATTGGGCTTTCAAAGTTGTTTCTAGTGAATGATATTCTTCAAGAGTTCTTTAACACTGTATGAACTTTCTTCATTGCACCAAGACGTGACTTGCGAATAATAATCTAAAGGGGGTGAACAGGTTCAAATTTCCCTTTTATCCAAATTTTGCAAAATATTAATTTTACTGAAATAAAACTAAATTAATCATCACACAAAGCAAAAATAAAATGCAAGTAAAGCAAACGTAGATGAAAAGCTTGACACCAAAATTTTAGCGAGTGGGAAAAACTCTCAGATATTGTCATGCGGTCTTGAGCAAAAAGATCAACTATAGTTGAAGCAAAATTCAATTGACTTTGACTCAGACTCACACCCTCGATCTTCACTCTATTGAAACATATATTATACATCTATATTATATTAGTTTTCCTTTCTTTCCTTTTTGATTTATTCCTTTTGTTTAATTCCCTTCTTTCCTTATTATACATATATATTATATTCGGTTTTATTTCTTTCCTCCTTGATTTACTTCTTGATTCTTTCCTCCTTGATTTATTCCTTTTGTTTACAACTTTATTTCCTATATATTGTGCATCAATATAAGAGAAATGTAGCCTCAGTGGCTCTTGATCCATGGATATAAGCCGTAGTGTCGAACTATGTATATACTGTGTTCTCTACATTTCTCTCTTCCATCTTCGTATTTTACATCTTATATTCTGAATTAAAAAATTAACATGGTATCAGAGCAACGATCCTTGATCGTTTGCACCAAAGTTTGCGTTGTCTTCTCTATGGCTCCATTTGGAGCTCTGCCATTTTTTTTTCCAGTAAAATCTGATCTGTTTCTGGTTCAAATCTCTCTTTATTTTCCTTTTTCGATCAACCATGCGCTTCCAAGCGACGTCCCGCACCGTTACGCGCCGACGCTTCTGCAAAATAGATCTGACTTGTGCTTCATGCGCCTATGCGACGCATGCCCCTATGAGTAGATCTCACTCGCGCTACATGTGCCAAAGCGCTCCTCCTTCACTGACGGTAGTCAAAGCTCCGAAGCGGTGACCGACTATTTCCCAGCTTTGTTCCAGCATTTGTCGGCTTTGTTCCAGCATTTGTCGGCTTTGTTCCGACTATTCCCCGGCATTGTTCCGGCTATTTCCTCGGCGTTGTTCTGGCATTTCTCGGCTTTGTTCTGACTATTCCCCTGCTTAGTTCTGGATCATTTTCATTTCTTAAATGGATCACCCGGATGTCTCCCAGTGTTGCTCCAGCCCATTTCTCGGCTTTGTTCCGACCCATTTCCCCAGCGTTTTTCCGGCCATTTCCCGTGCGTTATTCCGGCCTTTCGCATGCTTTTCGCTTCACCACGGTTTTCAATATTTCATCTCCAAACTCAAGTTGGCTTCGAGAAACCCATCTTAAGTTCGCGGGAGAATATATTTCATACATATTATATTCATTTTCCTTTCTTTCCTCGATTTATTCCTTTTGTTTCCCTTTTTTCTTCATACATATTATATTATATTATATTTGGTTTCCTTTCTTTCCTCCTTGATTTATTCATTTTGTCTGCAACTTTATTTCCTATATATTGTGTATCAATACAATGTAAACATATCAAGTAGTACAAGTGATAAGAGAAATGTAGCTTCAGTGGTTCTTAATCCAAGAATGTAGGCTTTAGAGCCGAACCATGTATATATTGTGTTCTCTACCTTTCTCTCTTTCATCTTCTTATTTTACATCTTATATTTTCACACCATAAAATTAACACAATCTACCGAGAATCAACTGTTAAACATTTTCGGCTTTGCGACTCCCCCATCCAAATGCTCTCAACTTCAGGTTTAGTCCATTGATCCATATAGAAGGATTGTTGATAGATCAACAGTCCGTGAATGCTCTAGCCCCTTCAGAGTGTGATCTTTTCCTCATTTTCTTCAAACTATAGAATTATTGAAGTACTTGAAAAAACAAATCTGTTTTGATTACAGGTAGCAATAGATCTTGGATTGTCAAGAACTCCGATTAAGAGAATCACATCATAAATCACGCATGTGTGTAGTATGTGTATTATAAATGTGAAAAATAATCAATCTCTGCAAAATCTCATAATAGCTCTGTAGAGTTTTTAAAATTAGATCACAAGAGCTGTAATGATTTTAGATATAATAAATAATATATGTGTGTTAAGAGAGACCTAACAACCCTAGTAAAATTTAACAATTTAGTACAAAAGCTTCTCTCTAAACCTTGACAAAAAAAAAATTCAAATTTTGACTTTAAAAGAAAATTTCTTTTTATGTTCAAACAACTAAACAAGTGCAATTGGTTCTTTTTGAAATGGAATCGGTTTTTTACTCAGAGTTACTTCAAAACCCGAGAAAAGTGCAATCGGATGTATTTGAAACAGAACCAATTATACTTTTATTGAGAATAAAAATACACTTGTCATGACTCAGAAACCTCACAATTAAATATAAAACATATATTGTGCATGAGGTAGACACATGGTACGTGACTCTATCAAAGGCATTTATGCCGTGGTTAGTGGTGCTTATGTTTGGAAGACAAGATCTAATTGTAGGGCTCATATGTGGTCACATGGTCCTTGTTCTCCGCCTTTGTTGGCTCTTTGGCAATCACCTTGGACAGCTGGTTTACAATTTGGATTTTCCTTTTTATCTTCTGTGGTGGGCACTGCTTAGTTGTCATTTTGTTACGGTTCTACGTGGTTTTGTGGCTCTTTTGTTTTGTTGGGCTGTTGAGTGGGAAGCTTTAGTTATGGTTTTTGTGTTGTTGTTCTGTTTCTTGTAGATGCTGTAAGGCATTTCTGTTACCAGGAAAAAAAAAAAAAATGTATGTCCTTACTCTTATGGATCTACTGTGAGCTATAATTTTATTTTATACCCCTAAATTTGTAATTTTTTGTATTTATACTCATAAAATTTTGAAATTGCCCCCACTAGATTTATGAAAAATCCTTTTATATAAATTTGCCCCCCTCATATAAATTTTTAGACTCGTCCCTGCTCTTATAAATAAGTGATATATATTCTCAATAGTCAGCAGTTTTTATTTTCTGTATGTTTGAACACCTCGCCACAATAATTTCTTTTGTTGTAGGGGCTAAATTTTTCTCATTTTAGTACTCGGGGAGGTACCATTATTTCTTGTTTATTCTTCATCAATATCATTTGAATTCTCTTCTGTTCCTTTATTTGTCTCTCTGTGATTGGAAATGCAAAGAGTTGTTTTGCATTTTGTGACTTCACTTTTGGGTTTCGAGGAGACTCGCAGTTATAATAGTGCGTCGTCACAATAAAGAAGCCTTGAAATTATACCAAATTGAGCAATAGTTGTACTTTACAAACCCACCTTCCCAAAAAGAAAGTTCAAAATTCAAACTTTGGTGAAATCATAGGTCTGTAAATTTACTTAACATTTCATAAAAAAAATTTTTAAAAAAAAAACCCTTGATGATCATTGTAAAATAAAATTTATTTAATTTTAGTCATTAAAATCTATTTTCCTTTCCAATGAAGAATGTATCAACTTTTCACTTAGTAAGGTAAAAAAATGCATTAAGTTAATTTTTTATTATTTTTTATTTGGTGTTCTATGCAGCAAATATTTTATGAAAAATCCTCCATCCCAACTCAAAAAAATTTCAAAATTACGCTAACCAAACCAATCCACGGGAAGGTAAAAAACAATACAATCCGGTGAACTCAACTATTGAGAGTCAACCTAGTCTTGACAAAAAAAACTTTCTAAAAGCTGCTTTAGTGGCTTTACCTACCTTATCTTTTATTAAACAGCTCTGAAATCCGTTTTTGAAGTCCGAAAGGTTGCCTATTTATCTTTTGCTCGCTGTCAGAGAAATTATTAACATTTCCGTTTATATTTGTTTTATAGGGTTTACTTCAAGTTTTCAAGCAAGTAAGTGTATTTTTCTTATTAATTTTCACTCTAGTGTATATGTTATTTAATTTTTCCTTTTATTAATTACTTAATTTTGTGAATTGTTTGGAAGCTAGCCAGTGTTGATATAAATGGAAATCTTGATTAAGTGTGCCATTAGTTGTCCAAAAACTGTTACTGATAAATTAGAGCAAGAAGATGTAGTATTAAAACTTGTTCAGGATTGGAAACCTCCAGAGGTTCCTATTTATGATGTTTTTCACAAGAAAGGAATTTCTTTTTTGGGTAATATTTCCATAAGAAAGGAATTTATGAATCGGAATCAGGTGGCTATGCGATCAAAACCCTAGAAAAAACAGTGTCAATAGAAAATCAAGGCGAAGTCGAGTTTCAAGTACATGCAAGCCGCGCAATCCAACTGCACAAGATGAGGTACCAGTACCTCCATATGGGGTTAGTACAAGTGGGTGTGAAGCCTTTAACTAGAAATGGTTTGAATACATCTGTGTTGGTTTGTCTTCGCGATGGTCGATTTCTTAAGTTCAAAGATTCTATATTAGGCACCATGGAGTTCTCTCTCAGTGATGGACCAGTTTATTTCAATTGTTATCCAAACTATTCAGTGCCGCTAAAGGATGCCCTAGACACTTGGAAACTATATGTTAGGACTCAAAATGGGGAGGATGAGGTGGGCTCACAAGATATTGCTATTGTTTATAGGGTTTATTACAAAGTTATGACCGGAAGATGCCTTTTCCGTTCACCCCACTCAAAGGTGCCATTCTCAAGAGGGGAAACAACTTTCATACAGACGAATCTACTCAAGGATAATGTTGCTGTGGCGAACACTGTGGAATGGGATTCAATTCAAGTGCCGGATGAAGTGGGACTTGAACATGAAGCGTAGCTACCATACATGCATACACATACACATGTATAGCATAGCCAGGGTCGGCCTGAGATTGAAAAAATCTCGAGAGATTCTAGGCAAGGCAGACTTTAAATGTAAGACTCTCAGTATATAAATGATATGTTTGTCCTAAATTTTTTTTTTTTTTTTTTTTGTTCTTCTTTTTGAGGCTCATTTTTGTTGCATTTGGTTAGATTTCTTATTTTTTTAATTTTTGGTAGCCCATCATTTTTGAGGCCTTTTGTAGCGATTATAATTTTTTTTTTTTTTTTTTTTTTTGTGACCCAACATTCATGGGCCTATAAATTTTAATTTGCTGTATTTGGTTGTAATTTTTTTTTTTGTGGCCCATCATACATGGACCTATAAATTTGGAAGCCCCTTATATTCTGAGGCCCTAGGCAACCGCCTTGGTCACCTTGGGCCAGGGCCGGCCCTTAGCAGCGCCTTAATATCTCGGTGAGAGGAAGCTAGGCTAAAGGTGGAGTTGCTCGTGTGATTGTTAATAAAAGGTGTTGGTGTCTGGTGATGGTTTGGGTGGCTTGGTTCTCAGTCTTTTTATCCAAGCCTATTATGCTTTGGGAGTGTTTTTTTTTTATTATATTTAATCAGGTCTGTAAATTTGTTTGAACTAATTTTCTGTATGTAGTTTGGTCATGGTTGGTTTTTAGTTGCCTTTCCCTTGTGCTCTTCGATCCTTTACTTTTATTAATACAAAAAAGTAATAATAATTATTATAAAAAAAATCATGCTTCAGCACCCCCACAAGCATGTAATTATATAATGCATCGAGTGCGTAAACAATATAAATTAAAACACCTAATAAGTTAACAACCACCCCTCCACAAACACACAGAAAAAAAAAAAAAAAAAAAAAAGAAGCCAGAGATTGGATACTTCTGCAATTTTTTTGCATTGTGTTCACATGTGATTTTGACAGCTAACCACCTTCGTCCAAAATTCATCCAGTCCCATGACCAAAATGCCAATCAATTAACAGAAAAAGACAATTTTTATGCTCAGGTATCCTTTAATTACTTTGCCTATTACATTTGATTTTTCAATACATATCAAATATAAGAAAGTGAAACCTTCATTTTTTTATTTAATGCATTTATGACCAATTAAATTTAGTAGGCCTAATAATTCTGCCTAATTAATCCGTCTAAATATCTTTACTCTTAAAAAAATAATAATAAAAAAAAAAATTCCTTATTTTGAGGGATAAAAAGACTAACGAAAAAAGTCTTACTCTCTCCATCACAAATTAAATGTTCACATTTTTATTTTTGATTGTCACAAAATAAATATCTCATTTAAAAAATCAAAGTACTATTTTTTTTTTAACATTACCAATTTAACCTTATTACATTGAATTTATAAAAAGTAAATCATCACATCAATGGACCTACTATGAATATATTTGGTAATTCATTCGCAATTAATATAATAAAAAAATATTAAAATCCATCCTTTTAAAAAGTTAGATTCTCGAAAAGAGACATTTAATTTGAGACCTTCTTACATTGAATTTATAAAAAGTAAATCATCACATCAATGAACCCATTAAAAATATATTTGGTAATTCATTCGTAATTAATATAATAAAAAAATATTAAAATCCATTCTTTCAAAAAGATAGATTCTCGAAAAGAGATATTTAATTTGAGACGAAAAGAGTACTATTTATGAACTTAAAAATAATTTTTGAATTTTTAAAACACTAATTTTTTAATCAATTTTATTTAAAAATATATTCAAATTAACATTTAATTAAATTTGTAAATTCACATTTCCAAAAAACCCACCCTCGTTCAATTTCTATAGCGAGAGAACCTAAGAAATTGTGTGAGGGGGCAATAGGGGAAAATTGTGTGAGGGAGTAATAGTGGGATTATTTTATTATTATTATTATTATTATTATTTTTGTAATTTCCCCTGGGTGGGGAGGAGGCAATAGTAAAATAAAATTTCATAAGTATATATAATTTAAAAAATAATAATAATAAGATGTGTATTATGAACCGTACTACGACATTATTTTTGTTTTCTGACTATCAAAGTTCATTGTGACCTGCTCTTATAGCCCTCACTTTCTCTCTTCCATCGAGGACTTACTTTTTATTTTTTTTTGTAAAGCATCCCAATTAGTTTCTTCGTCTTTTTTATCCTAAATAATCGGGCTTGCCTTTTTTTATTTTATTAAAATCACCCGACTTACCTTTGAATCTTAATAAATTATTGGGAGTTTTATTTTATTTTATTTTTTGTTTTTAGTAATCATAGCATTACACCATTGTATGTGGTTCCCAATGTCAATTGACAGTTGCATAATATCATCATCACTTACACACACACACACACACACACATATATATATACTTACATAACCTGATCATCTTCACTTGAACACACACACACACATATATATATATACACTTACACAACCTGATTTCACTATAACCACAAACATATAGAGTCTGAGCATTACTCGATTCATGTGGAGGGATCGCTTTGCATTGGTTATGTAGACTAGTTGGAATGAAACCCTAGACAACCCGAATATCGAAAAAAAAAAACTGATCTCACAATATTGCAAACATAATCATAATGTGGGAGTTATAATGTAAATTACAGATTTCAACAACAATTATAGTAAGTTGAGGATTTAATTCAAGAATGCGTAGAGGAAAAAACTTCGAATTGCAAAGAAGGTTGAGGATTCAATCTTCTTCTATTTCCTTCAAGCTTTCAACACTTTAAAAAATTTAGTTCTTTTTTCTCACCATGCCTCTCTTATGTATGCTCTACCAAATTTCCACATGGGTGCCACCTGTTGTGATTTATATGCCCTGACATAGCAAATTCCTATTTGGATTATAGTGACATATGTTCCTGACGTTTCTGAAATATTTATACTTTATACAATTGGTGAATTAAATGTATTATGTTTCAATTCATTATAGAATTGATAGTGTCCACTTGATTACAAGAAATACTTATATATGTATGTGATGACGATCAATACATGAATATAAATAGTAATCATAAATTGTTCATAGTCGGTAATAATGGATGGACTCATAATTAATTAAGACTTGAACTGGATCCGCGTTAGGTTGAGATATATTGCGAGAGCCGTCATATGCAATTGCTCCCTATCACCGTCATGGCATTTGACTCTTAAGCATGAGAAAAGTATAAACTCTTTTATTAATTAATAATTACTTTGATTTGTTCGGCGAATACTTCAGGATCCTTAGACCGACACTTTGGGTAGTTATGTAATTAATAGTCAGAGGGTTATATTTTCAATATTTGCATCATTGTTACTTGTATTTATTTTGTAGTGATTATGGTTGATCACAAAGTAAATTCGAAGGCCTTCGTGTGTTTTTAGACAAAATGATTTATTATATATTTATTTATTTAAATTATTATTTTTGTCAAACAAATGTTTTATTGTGATCGAATCAGAAATAATCAAAGGTACCAAAATAAATATATTAATTAAGTAGTCAGATTGATGACTTTATTTATCCGATAACTAATTATGCATAGAGGGGTAAAAGTGCAACATTAACTTAGAGGTTATTTATTATTTAATTAGAATTCAATTAATTTCTTTCAGTGGAGTAGAAATTAATTTATGAATTAATTGAATTGGGTCCATGGACCGGGCCAATTATTAGTTCATTATAGCCAATAAAATAATAAGCCCAAAGGATTCTCACTTATAGCCCAACTTGATATTGGAATCCTATTAGATTTGAGACATGTGAATTAGAGATTGAGAAGGATTTATTCTTTCCTTTTCTTTATCTTTATGTTACCTATATATATACATGGTCTATGTATATTTGAGGGGTGATTTTTAGGAGAAGGAAAAAGATATATATTTTCTCTCTCTAGAAAATTAGGGTTAATGTTCTCATCTAATGGAGGCTCCCACAAGCCTAGTTTTCCAATGTCATTCATGGAGGCTTATGGGTGATTCTTAAAGGCAAAATTATTACCAAGAAGATGGAGATCCATGGAGATAACATCTTGCTAAGGGATCTACAATAAGTGAGAACATTCACTTTAGAGGAAAGATTTAAGGGTTTACTCAGACCTTTAATGTAAGTATTCAATCTATTAATTGAATGATACATCATATTTTATTTTTGCATAGAACTTGTCTCTATGTGATGAATCAAGATCTATGAATCAAAATCCCTCAAAAGTTTTTAAAACTTGCACGTTTCCCAACAGTGGTATCAGAGGATGGTTTGATTCATTAATAGAGATCATGTTTTTATCAAAATTCATCATTCATGGATCCAATTTTGATATGCATATATTTATTTATTGATGTATGAATTAATACATTGATATATGATGATGTATGTATAATTGTGAATGGATGATGATGTGTGTTTGGGTTATGGATGAAATTTATAGGTTTTTTAATGTAATTATCTTTGGATGAATGTAATTAAGGCTTTGATTTAGCCGTTTGAAAGTTCAATGATGTAATTTAATTTTTTCCATTGTATTTCAAATTGTAAATTTATTTAAAGCCATGTAATTTTCATCAAATGATACTATGAAGCTTCAAGAAGGTCCAAAAGGGTTAAATTAGGCTTCAGGAATTTTCTAGAATTTTTTCGAAATTTTTCAGAATTTTTCTGGAATTTTTTTGGGCTTTGTTTAATTTTTTCGAAATTTTTTATTATTTTTCGACGGTTTTTTGGTGACATTCTGGCGATCAGAGGGCACCGGCAGCAAGGGCGGCGCTGGAAGGGAGAAGGTTGATCCTGTGCTTCGTGGCGCACCAAGATAAGGTGCAACCACAAGCTGAACCATTGGATCAAGAGGGATAAAATGATTTATCCCATGCAGCGCAACTCGGTACAACCGGCGCGCATAGATTCCAGCTAGCACGTGAAACCACGCGCCAGCAATTGTTTGACCTTTGACCCGCGTGTGGCAGAGTGTGAAGGCGCGTGCCACGCGCCACTTGATCACCCCAGCACGTGCAAGCGCATGGGGACACGCTGCACGCTCCCCAAGCGCGTGCCAGCGCGGGGGACGCGCTGTAGCTTCCCCAGGCGCGTGCATGTCCCTCCGGGCATGTTCCAAGCGCTGTTTTGTTTCTCAAGATGCGTACCAGCTTCCTACAGGTGTTTAAAAGTCGTTGGAGGATGCTTGTATAATACTTAGAGCAATTAAATGTTAAAAGCTAAATCCATTGGTCATTTAAATTACTTATGTCTGTTATTTATTTATTAATCTGATGTATAGAATAATTAATTGTTTATTATTATTATTCATGCATTGGATTCATGATATTTATTTAAATGGCTTGATTTATATTAATTAAGTTATGAAAATTAATTGGATTTGATTACTAATTAATTAGAGAGTACTTATTGGGAAATAAAAAATTATTTTTGGAAATTATTTTAAAGTATGCCTCAAATTAAATATTAGTGAATCATTTAAAAGTCCAGTTATTTTCTAAATTTAATTGAATTAAAATCAAGACCTTTTTCATGCATTATATCATATATATGAATAAATAAAAAACCCTAATTATGAATGATTAAAATTTGAGTGGGAGCGGGAATTTTTATACATTGCCCCATGGCCTTCGTTATTAATGTTTTTATACATTGCCCCATGACTAGATATTTAATGTTTTATTTTTCATTAGAACTTTAATAACGTTATACACTCAATCTAAAATCAATAGTGTTAGCTCCCCAACGGAGTGGTTTACACTAGGTGATTTTAGAAAGGTTAAACAAAATCGGGAATCATTTCATATGATAGACAAGGCATTGTCTTAAGAGATATGGAAATGATAGGATTTGCCCGCCAATAACAATAATGAATT